TCTATTAATACGAACATATTTTAAATAAATGATATGAAACTGCAGTTTTTATTCAAAGCAATCTAACGGTCTTTTGATTTATTTTGCCTTTACTTATGCTATCTGTTTATAATGAAGCACACGTCTCTTGCAATTTTATTTGAAGAATAAAATAGTTTGAGAAATGTTTCTCTATTAACGTGAGTTTTGGTTAATTTACTCAAGAATTTTCAGGAAATTCAATCTTAAGCAATATCAACTAATTCGGTAATCGATTGAAGTGTTATTGAATTCTCATGTTTTGATTATGAATTGACCAAATTTCCTCAAACATCAATATATTTCCCATATTTCTCAATTGGTATTAAACTATTTCCAGTGCGATTTCCTAACTTAACTTCAAAAAACTAGTTGATCAGTTAATCATTAATTGTGAGGCGCGTGTTATGAAAAATATTAATTCTTTTATAAAAAAATAGAAATAAAACCAAAAAAAGTCTCAAACATTATGTCTTCATTTATTTTTATTTTCAAACTGCTGTCCATCTAACATTTGAACAATATTGGTGTAGTTTTCAAAACATTAAATTCACAAACGTCTACAGATAATCGTTGGTTTACGAACTGGTCCAACACTGAAGCCGACGTTAATATTGTTGAATTCATTTTTCATGTTTTCCACCCATTCGCCGGTGCCTTTTGCGAGAATGCTTGCAATGCGTTGATTTAGTTTCCGCTGTGCTTTAAGCCCTTCCTCTTGGTTATTATTAACAAAATGTTTATAAATTCCGCAACTTGCTTCTGGACAAATGCTAAGCGTTGTCAAAATCGCTGCATCAAATCCAAGTGAAAACGCTCCCCATAAAATTGTATCAGCACCGAGTAAAATATTACGACCTTCTTTAATCAATTGAACGCCGATTTCCATGTCACCACACGTGTACTTTATTCCGCAGAATGTAGGCACTTCTTTCTCGATCAAATCATAAAATCGAGGCATATTCACTGCAAATCCAAAGAAAAAGAAAATCAATAGACATTCTGGGAATTGATGTGAATGAATTCTCTTTACTTACAATCTACTCCAGACATGCGTGGAATGTGATAGTAGTAAAATGGTCGAGTTGGGCAATATTTTACAATGCCATTGATGTAGCTCACAAGGTCTTCCTCGATTTTCGGTTTGAAAAATAGGTCGGGCAAACATAAAACACAATCAACGCCGATTTTCTCTGCATGTTGTGCCAATTCGTAAACGCCAAGAATGTCACAGCCACCGATTTGCACCATCATCGTCATTCCATATTTTCGACATGCTTTCAACCACTCTTCAGCCAATCGCTTACGTTCATCCAAACGCAAACACGTTCCCTCGCCAGTTGTTCCATTTACTAATACGCCATTCACACCTTTTGCTTTTAAATAAGAGCAGTACTCATCGATTACGTCATATACCACCTGTCTAAATAAATTCAATTGTTTTTTTTTTTTTTTTGAAACAGCTTCAATTTATTATTTTATAAATGAATGAACTTTAAATGAATCGGTTAGAATATTCGTGAGCCCAAGAAATTTGCTAAAGTAAAAGAGCAACATGTTCATATGAAAAATGTACGTTGCAGTTTTATTTTGACAAACTTCTTGAGCTCACGAATATGCTAGCCGGTTCAAATTGATTTTGCTTGAGTCGAAACCAAAGATAAATAAAAAAAGAGTAAAATCAATTTAAAGTTCATTCATTTATTAAATAATGTTTGTGGAGTTTACACAGTTTAACAAAACAAGTTTTTGCTTCAATTTGTTTGTCTTTGAGACATTTGCGCTAATTTTGGTGAGCGAAAGACTTACTTATTTTCATCAAATGCCGTAAATGTTGGACACATAAAACCTTTGAAGTAGAATTTTCCCATTTTAATTTACTTTTGATATACAGTGGAAAATAATTCGATCTGTTCACTTTCTCATGTGACAAACAACTGATAATACTGAAAAAATTGTATTAGGCTAAGAGAAAACCGGTGTTATCTTGTTACTTTTGAACGACCGATAAGACACAGGCTTCAGTGGTCTGCAATAAAATTTAAGTATTGAAGATTGTAGTGAAACAACAGAGAAGCTACAAACAAACAAGAGATAATGAAGATATCAGTTGACATGAATAAATTATTTTTAACGTTAGGAGATATAACTTGTCAGTGACTCAGTTTCGCTTTTTACATATGTGCCAAAATGTCATGAAATTCTGCTATCGATGGACACTAGTACAATGTTCTATCATAGATGGTCCTGTTTTAACTGAAAATATTGCCAGATGGGTCCGTTTTCAAGTAGAGTTGACAACTAAATCACAAACTGCTGATATATTATCTGTTTTCTATAAATACAATGTTTACAATGTCAGTTTGAGTACAAAAAAAAATCATTTTTTTCTTATAAAATATATTTGCTTAATTCTGCCTTATAGCTAAAAGTTTTTTTTTTTAACGAAAACTCCAAATTAATATCCCCGAAAAGTTGGATCATATCGTTCACGATCGAGTAAATTGGCGACTTGTTTAAAGTCTTTTTGCATTGGTGGCTTTGGGTAACGTGGATTAATACCATATGGTTGTAGCTTATAAATGAGATAATACATTGTATATTGATACGATGCTGATATGTAATGAAATGCAATGGTATAATTTGAGCAACAGTCCAATCCATCATCGTTCCAATAGTATTTTCTCTGCCAATACCAATACGTTGGATTATAACGGATGAAAAAATGTTCTTCCGGCCAAAATGGTAGAAACCGATCACGTTTCAATAGATCTCTCGCATCACCGGGATATACATTGTAATAATCCAAGCACCGTGAAATATCATAATCTTCAATTCGATCGTCGGTCTTAATGTTACAAACCGACTTTGGATTATTATAAAAATTTTTATTTGTCAACACTTTTTCAACAAAAATGCGAAGCGTTTTTCGGCTCATCGCATATCCACTGCCACCGCTAAAATATCCCCATTTATGATCTGTCGTATTGAATTTATGTCCAAAATAAATGGGATCGTCGGTTGAATACGCTGATAACATAAAACGTAAATTTTCCGGCATTAAGAACATATCGTCATCACCTTTTATAAACCAATCGTATTCGTCAAGATAATTTTGAT